GGGGTGTGGTCAGCCCTGTAAGACACAGGTGGCGCCCATCCAAGGTGGTGCACCCGCCCAGCCAGACTTGCTCACAAGGCGGGGGGAGAGGGGGTGAGTGGGTGGCCTGGGCTTCTCCCCTCCTCACCGCTCCCCGCCTTGAGCCAGCCCCGAAATTCCTCCGAGGGGCATCCACGCCCGGGGACGCTGCAGGCACTGTACCCAAGGCCTGCAGGGAAGAACCAGAGGCTTGCCTATCTGGCCTGAGGCTGGGCCTTCCACAGCCAGAACCACGCTGTAAGCAGCAGCCTTTATTAAGCACCTGCAGTATGCCAGCTGTCCTCCAGGCCCCTCCAGCATTGTTCCACTCAAGCTGCATGGTATCCTGGCTGGTGGCTGTTCCCTCTCCCTTTCTCAGAGGAGAATGAGACTCAGAGTGGGGAGGAGGACACACAGAAGGAGGGATGGAGCCAGGATTCAACCCTGGGCCTCTGCTCCTATGGGGGGGCCTGGCCTCTGTGCTCGGGACATGTGGTGTGAGACAGAATGTGCTTGTGCGCGTGGGTGGCCACTCATGTCCCTGTGTGACAGACGGGGAGTAGCCCATGCTGAGTGTGATACCGTGTCTGGTAAGTCATGCCCGTGGATGCCATGGGCACTGCGTCTCCCAGGGTGACACTGTCCCAGTTACGCTATGTTTTTCCATGTCTTTAGGACATGGCCATGTGACCCTAAGTTGTTTGTGTGATATCGGTGTCGGTGTCTATCCGTGCCTGATGACACCATCTGGGTGACCTGTGTCTGTGTGACCCCCATCTATCCGTGTCTCATGACATTGTTGGGTGACCTTGTTGTGTACGGGTGGTGCTGTCCCCACTGAGGAGCTGTAACTGGGTAATTTGCAGGGTCGAGAGGCCGTGCTGGACACTGGGTGCTGGCAGAGCTTGGTGGCTACTGGACCCATCTCTGCAGTCCCGGTCACCCTGTCCACCTACCTGGCCATGCAGGCACCCTGAGGCCTGGGCCCCCGAGTGGAGGAAGTGGCCACAGAGGCTTTGGTCCTTGGCCACACCGACCAGAGTGCCTGCCACTGGGCAGGGCTGACCCCATGTCATCTTGTCATCCCTCCACCCCAGGGGGCACCTCTCACCATCAACTCTCTGTCCTCAGCAGCAGCAGTGGCAGAGCCCTCCGTCCGGGGCTGCACCCCATCCCAGCCATGTCCAAGTCTGGCCCCTCTGCGGGGCCCCCAGGACCCTCCCCCACATCCACTTATCAAGCTCCACGAGCCAAGCCTATTCCAGGCACTGGGGATTCAGTCCTTCCCTGCCCTCACCAAGCACAATGAACAGATGTGCTCAGGCCAGGAGCGCCCCCATTAGACCACCCTTGGATGCTGAGCCCCTGCCTAGCTCCTGCCCCCATGGTGCCCCCAGCACAGCTGAAGCCTCCTGAATTGGAGGATAAGGAACTCGGGATGGGAATTGTGAGCCTGCCCGACATCCCCTTGCTGTGTGACCTTAGATATATTGCTTAATTTCTCTGGTCTGAGACACGAGATGACCTAAGAAAGGGCTTGACCGTTTGGAAGGGCAGCAGAAACAGCAGACTGCCCTGCGTGGCACAGAGCTCTGCGGTGTTCAGAGGGCTGCTGCCCCCACCACCGATGATGACAGAAATGGCAACTTCTGTCTCTTAGCACAGGCCTGGGGCCAAGCTCTTTGTGTGTTGTAGCTCCTTGGAGACAGGCCCTCTTTTATTTTCACTCTGCAGATGTGGAAACAGGTTCAGAGAGGGCAAATGACTTGCTCAAGGCAACCACCACAAGAAGCAAACAGGCTTAAACCAAACCTGTATTCAGGACAACTCCTGCGTCCCCTACCATCGTCTCCAGTATGCATGGGGCATGGCAGAAAGGACTATCCCTTTTACAGCTGGGGAAACTGAGGCTTAGAGAGGGGATGTGATGTTTTGGGGTGTCTGGACTCCCAAGCCACTGCTCTCTCCCACCCGTCCCTAATCTCTCTACCCTCCTGAGTGCAAATCGCCGTGGTGGGGTTGGGGAGGGCCGGGAGGCAAAGAGAGAAAGGCTGTCAGAAACAAAGAGCTGCTGTGGCCGCACAATGGTGACAATCCAAGCCAGATGACAGGCACTGGGCTTCAGGAGCAGCTTGGAGCCCACCTGCAGCTTCCTCCAGACAATGAGAAGCCTATGCTCCTGGGGGGTGGGGCACAATAGGCACCCTGTGTTCAGGGGCCTGCCTCTCCCTGCACCACTCTGGGGACGAGAGATGGCCCAGACAGCCACTGCCTGGCCTAGGAACAAGGGGCGAGGGGCTGGTGAGCTCACACATGGTGGTGGTGGGAGGGGGAAGGGGCAGCCCACCCACGTGGCGGGATTTGGAAGGTCTTTCTTCCCTGACCCAAACACCCCACCATAAGTGGCCTCTTACCTTGCCTGAAAATGTCGAAGTAGCTCTCCAGTTCCCTCTGGGCAAGCAACTTAAGTTTATCTCCAAACTTCTGGTTCTCCATCTGTAAGATGAAGATGATAGATTTTGCTTGGCAGAGGTGCTGTTGGGATTAGATGACGGAGACACATTGAATGACATGTAGTAATGGCTCGAGATGTGTTAGTTCCTTTTCATGATGGGTGAAAGGATGGCTGGGTGGGTGGGTGGGGTGATGCGTGGATGGATGTATGGATGGAGGGGAGATTAGATGAGTGGAAGGACTGGTGGATGGAAGGATGGGTGGGTGGATAGACGGATGGATGAACGGCTGAAGGAGACAACAGATGAGTGGAAGTATGGATGGGTGGATGGATGAATATCACATTAGGGTCTAGGTAGCAGGTGGATGGAGGAATGGCAGATGGAAGGAAGGATGATGGCTGGGGAAGTCTGAGAAGGCTTCCAGGAGGAAGTAAGCTGCAGATGAACAGAGAGAAGGGTATTGTGTGTTCCTGAAGGGCAGGCAGTGTGCACCTCCAAGCTTTGAATCCCCATCTTCCGGCCTGAACCTCCAGGCAGAACAGGTGCTCAGAGATCCCCTCTCCCTGGATCTCAGGTCTGTGCCGATCAAGGTCCTAGTGTGTCCCATCTCTCACCAGGCCCTTCCAGTGGGTGGGATGAGGACTGCAGTCCCTCTCCATCCTTGGCGGAGGTGGAAATGCAGGAGACTTGGAGTCAGGTGGCCCTGGACCCGAGTTCCAGCTCTACCTCCTACTTGCTGTGTGACTTTAGGCCCGTCCCTTCCCCTCTCTGAGACTCAGCTTCCTCTGCTCATACACTAGGCACCCTCATCCCGACCTCACTGGTATTGTGGGTAGCAAGAGAGATGATGGAGATAGAAGCTCTCAGCACACAGTAGGGGCTGAGACTTAGGGCAGAGGAGAAGCGGACGGCAATGAGGACTCAGAACCCCTGCCAGGCCTGAGCTGTCCCCTCCTGAATCCTAATAGTCCCCTGTCTCCTGTCCTCTGACCCCTGAAACTAGAAGCAGCCAACGGGACATTTCATAATTTAAAGAGAACAAGCAAGAGACTCTCGAACCACAGCCACCTCTTAATGGAATTACCAAAAAGGGCTTCTTAATTAAAAACAAGAAGCTGGGGACAGGTTCATATCCATGATTCAGGGCCCGGTGCTGCGGCCGCCCATGGTTTCATTTCCCTTTATTTGTGTCTCACTCTCGGCATGATCTATATTGTTAAAATCCTGCGTGAAAAATGGGCCTGGCTTTTCAGGTGGAGCTGTAAATATTTACCCTGCCTAATACGGGTCCCCCTGTCGTGGGAAGCTTGGGGGCTTTTCAATGCAGCTTAAGACATCCCGGCGATGTCTCATTAAAATTAAGTCTTGCCTTTTCTGTCTGCTCTGATTAACGCTCAGGGCATGGGAGAGGCAGCTGCGGCAGGGGTGGGGACATAGAAGTTGAGTGGGGAGCGGGTTAGGGGATCCTAGCTGTACGGAGCTGATGCCCTCCCTTTTGGGGTCACAGCTACCCCAGCCCGGAAAAGCGGACAAGGCAGGGGACATGGCCGGGAGCTGATTCTGCCTCTGGGAAGGGGCTGCTCAGGGCCGACCTGTGGGCTGCTCCAACTCTACCCGCCCAGCCCCTTCCTCACAGAGCCAGGGGTCCTTCCTCGTCCCTCCCAGCCCCTTGTCCCTCCCTTTCTTTTTCTGAATACACCATGCTCTCTTGAGCCTCTAGGGCTTCACATCTCCCTTTCACCCTGTCTGGCTACTTTTCCACCCCTGAGCTCCTTCCCATCTCTGCCTACATGCCCGTTCCTTGGGAGATGGTCCGGGTCCCAGGCTGGGTTAGAAGCCCTCCTCTCTGTGCTTGCCGGGACTGTAGCAATGTCACACTGGGCTGTCATTTCTGCCTACTTGTCAGCCCCACTCCATCTGTCTGTCGACTTCCTGGAGGTAGGGAGTGTTTCTTGCTCCCCACCAAGTCCCCAGCTCCAGGACTGAGCCTGGAATGGGGAATAAAGGCTGAATGGCCACGTGGGTTCAGGGACGGACCCAGAGCGTCTTGTATGGCGATTCCCTGTGTCACCCCCTGGGCTGTGCCACGAGGCCCTGCCCAGGTTTGGTGGGGAGTCTGAAGGCCTGGGGGTACCCCAGCTGGGCTCTCCCCTCAGCTCAGGTGCAGGGCCTGAATCGCAGAGACACTGGGCAGGGGTCTACTCGCCGGGGTTTTGGGAACAGCTTCAGTGAGTTATAATTCACACATTCGAAGCGTATCATTCAATGGTTTGCAGTATCTGCACAGAGTACAGATATTGCAACCAGCACCACAGTTCTACAACGTTTCACCATTTCCCCCAGAAGGGAACTCCCTGCTCATTAGCGCGTGCGCACGCGCGCACACACACACGCAGCCCTGGCAACCACTAGTCGTTCTGTCGCGTGGACTTGCCTATTCTGGGCATTTCATATAAATGGAATCATACAACACATGGTCTTTTGTGACTGGCTGCTTTCACTTGGCATCCTGTTTTCAGGGTTCATCCACACTGTAGCATGTATCAGCGTTTCATTCCTTTTTAAGGCTGAATACTATTCCATTGTCTCAATGGGCCACATTTTGTTTATCCCTTCCTCAGCTGCTGGACATCTGAGTCGTTTCTGCCTTTTGTCTTTTATGAATAATGCAGCTTTGCACATTTGTGCACAAGTTCTTGGTGTGGACACATGTTTTCATTTCTCGGGGGTGGAAACTCAGGAGAGGGAGTTCCCTGGTGGTCCAGCGGTTAGGAGTCGGCACTTTCCCTGCCGTGGCCCAGGGTTCAATCCCTGGTCGGGGAACTGAGATTCTGCAAGCTGCGTGGTGTGGCCAAAAGAAAAAAGAACCTGAGGAGGAGAATATGCTTGGGTTTCGTGATGGCATTTTGGCAGCTCTGAAGCTTTTTGGCAGCCTTCTAGGTGGCAAGAGAGGGACTGTGCTGAGACGTGGTGGGAGGGGTGGGAGCTCCAGCAAGAGGGGAGCACAGCAGTCCCCGTCTACCTGCCGGGAACTCAAGAGTCACTCTGTCTCTGAGCCTTGGGCTCACCATCTGCCCAACGGGGACAACCAAGGCGCCTCCCAGAGTTGGTGGGGGCCACGGGAAACGACAAGGCTGCAGGAAGAAGGAAACATTCTCCTTTGCTGGGTGTGGGAAGGGCCCTGGAGATGCCATGCCAACTGTCCAGTACTGCCACCCCTGCCAGCAGGGGATGGGGTGGAAGAGCCAGGCTTGATGGCATTGACTATATCGCCCTGAGAGGGAGGTGTCATTACGGCCCCCATTTTGCAGATGAGAACACGGAGGCCTCAGGAAGCGAAGTCACTTGCCGGGTCACAGTTGCAGTCCCCACATCTGCCAGATGAAGTCTTTCCCTCAACCCGCTCCCAGCCTGGTCCTGCCTCCTCCTGGCTGCCGTGAGAAGCAATGAGAAGCCAGGCTCCTTTTGTGGGTGCGAGTCCCCAAAGGGCTGGGACGATCTGTCTTGTCCCCTGATGTGGTCCCAGTGCCCAGAACAGTCCTTGGCACAAAGCGGGCGCTAGGCAATTTTGCCAGGATGCATGATTTGGAGACTCTGTTTCCCCATCTGTGAAATGGGCATAACATCCAGCCCCTGCGTTTGTGAAAGCACAGGGCACAGAGCCTGAGCTTTTCAGATGGCGTTCCCGCCTCTCCCTCCTCCCTCACCTGGGGGCGGGTCCCCTGGGAGGAGAATGGGACGACAGTCGGAGTCCATGGCTGGTCCCGCCCTAGAGCTTGTGGGGGCACCTGGCGGCTTTCCTGCTGCCCTCTCCCTCTTCCCAGGCTGGTCCCCATCAGTCAGCTCCCGCACACTTCTCTGGGGTCCCGACCTCAAGTTCTGCCCATCCTGGGGTGCCGAATGGGTATGTCTTCTGCGCAGAGATGCCCTCGCTCCTTTTCCAGCTAACGGAGCCAATTAGTGATGTTGGAGGCCTCTCCCCTGTGATTCCACTACAGCAGCCAGATTTTTAAAGTCCAGATTATCAGATGCCCAGCCCTGCCCCTTGCCCACCCAGAAGTGGTAGCAGAGGGAGGGGTGTCCCCAAGGTGGAGGTGGTCAGAGGCCTGGCTTCGAGGGGGCCCTAGCTTCCCTCCCCCCATTTGCAGGCACCGTTCTGCCAGGGAATCGGCCCCTGGCCCCTGTGGGCTGTGGGCTGGTGGGAAGGGGAGTGGGACCAAGGCCTCCCCGCTTCCCAACGGCCGGCCTTTCCCTGAACCAGCTCACAAAGGTGGCACCATTGATTGCAGAGCTGAAATTCCCCTGGGGTTGCAAGACCCAGAGCCCGTGCTTTGTCAACCTCAGCGACAGGTCGGTGCTGCTATTGCGTTATTATTATTGTCAACATTCTCCACAGATACACTTGGCAAATTGCTGCCCTGGTGGAAAAAATTGTGGGGTGGGATTGAGGGGCCTGGGTCCTGACCCCTATCTGCTATGGCCCAAGTGATCTTGGGAAATCCCACCCCTCTGAGCCAGGAGCCACCCTCCGTACAGTGGCAGTGTCTTGCGGTGGCCGAAGCCCAGGCTGGACGCCAGGTTGCCTGCTCTGCTCTGCATAAGCAGGTGAGCTGGGAGAGGTGACTTAAACACTCAAGACCTCCGTTTCCTCACCTGTAAAATGGGAGCATAATAGTCCTCACTCAGCTGGGTTGTGGTGAGGATATCTGTTGGGGTTACGTGTGCAACGCCTGACTCAGCAGATTGCTGAGCAGTGGACCGAATCAGGGGGTTATAGGATCAAGACCACAGGGAGACACCTGACCCCTTGCCTGTGGCAACCACGCAGGTAGATGTTTGAGGGGGCCTGTCTGCCCGCATCACCCAGGGGCTGCGGTTGGAGGAGAGCCATCGTTTGTGTCATTTTCCAATCTGCCACAGGGAATCAAAGGCTCTGAGGGGCCTGTTAGCACCCATTCTCTGCGGATCACTCAGACAATTTCCACAGTGCTCCACGACAATGGGCCATAATTAAGGTGTCAGCATATCATTTAGCCCTTTCAGCGCAAAGCCCAGAGACAGGCCGGGCAGTCTTCAGCCCCTTTAATGAGAGATGCTTAGAAGGAGTGGGAGGGTGGGAGGTGCGCATGCGCGAGTCGGGGGCGGTGCACCTCCCCCAGAAGCCTTCGCTGACCCAGGGGGACTGACCAGATGGGTGTCTGAGCAGTGGAGTTGGGAGGAAGATGAGATAGGCCTGGAGGTGAGGAGGGGCACAGAGGACCAAGGACAGGCTGGCTGGGTGCATCAGCTGTGCCCTCAGCCCCCTGAGTCCCTGTCAAAGCCCTCTTGAGGCTGTGTGGCCAGTGGCCTGTGCAACCTCACTCTCCTTTCTAGACAGTGAGCTCCTTGAAGACAGGCACCACGGGTGCCACCTCTGTCTCTGTGCCTCCAGTTCCTTGACCAAGAGCGGCTTAAAGGTTGTAAGAAAGAATGGAGAAAGGGAGGGAAAGACAGGAAAACAGACAAGGTAAGAGGAACCAAAGGCAAAGGTTTGATAGTACGAGGGATGGGGTATGAAAATGATAGAAGCCTGAGAGAAAGGTGCAGAGAAGTGTGTGTGTGTGTGTATGTGTGTACGTGTGTGCACACGCATGTGTGTGTTGTAGGTTGAATTATGTCCCCCACCAAAATAAGATATGTGAAGTCCTAACCCCCAACACCTGTGAATGTGACCTTTTGGGAAATGGAGTCTTTGCAGATATAATCAAGTTAAGGTGAGACCAGGGAATTCCCTGGTGTCCAGTGGTTAGGACTCAGCGCTTTCACTGCTGGGGCCCCGGATTCAGTCCTTGGTCGGGGAGTTAAGATCCTGCAGGCTGCGCAGCATGGCCAAAAAAAAAAAAAAAAAAGTTAAGGTGAGGTCATCAGGGTGGGCCGTAAGCCAATATGACTGGTGTCCTTTTAAGAAGAGGAGAAAAGACACAGACACACAAGGGAAATGCCTTGTGATGACAGAGGCAGAGATTGGAGTGATGCAGCTGCAAGTCAGGGATTTAGGGCCACCACCAGAAGGTAGGAAGAGACGAGGGAGGATTCCGCCCAGCGTCTTAGAGGGAGAACGGCTCTGCTGACATCTGGCTTTTGGACATTCGGCTTCTAGAGCTGTGAGAACACATTTCTGTCATTTTAAGACTTCCAGCTTGCGATGCTTTGTTATAGCAGCCCTAGAAAATTAAAGTAGTGTGTATACACATGTGTGTGTGTGTAAGAAAGGGAGGAAAGACACGCGCGAGAGAGATGAAGATGCAAAAACACCGTGCGTTAGTGCCTGTGAAAACGAAGTCTTCAACACAGCCTGGCCTAGTGCACTTTCTGTGTTGAAAGACTCTCTTAACAACAGCACCACTATCCCCATAACTACGTCCACCCCCATCATCACCACCATCACCATTACGACCACCGCCGTCATCACCATCAACCACCAACATGACCACTATCACCATCACCACTACCACCATTATCACAACCACCGTCATCACCATCATGACCATCATGACCATCATGACCACCACTATCATCACCATCATTACCACCAACATCTCCCGTCATCCCCACTATCACTATCATGACGACCGCTATCACCATCACCATGACCACTACCATCACCATCGCCATCATGACCACCACCACCAAGTGTGGGAGGAGAAGCAAAGAGGGAGAAGGCAGAGCCCTGGGGAGCACCTGCATTCAGAGGCAGGCAGGAAGGGAGGCAGCTGCACAGGCAGACAGCCAAGCAGTCACATCTGGGGAGGCAGGAGGAGAACGAGAAAGAAGGAATCTCAGACTCGCAGGGAGGAGGGAGTTAGAACAGTGTCTGGTTTCCCAGAGAGGCCTGTGAGGTGGGGCTGGTGCACATCCCAGGGTAGAGGAGAGCATTCTCAGGGGATGGGGGCCCAGAGCAGATGGCAGTGGGTGGAGGAGTGAATGGAAGGTGGGAGTGGATGAAGACACCAAGCTGGGAGTTGGAAAGATTCTCCTGGTGTCTGGGTGGAGAATGGATGGAGGGGACAAGCCTGAGATTCCCAAGGAGACTGGGGAGGGGCTGGGCTGGTCCTCCAGGTTGGGGACAGGGGCAGCCCCACCTGGGACAGAGGCCTGTGGGAGGGGCCTCGGGAGCCTGGAAGGAAGCAGCCTTGGCTGGGCTGCCTCACTGGGCAACTCATCCTCATCCCCTCTGTCTTAGTGTCCTAGGGCGGCTGTAACCAAGTACCATGAAGTGAGTGGCTTAAAACAGCAGAAGTGTATTCTCTCGGAGGTTTGGAGACCAGAAGTCTGAAAGCAAGGTGTCAACGGTGTTGGCTGCTTCTTGGAGCTCTGCGGTCAAAACCATTCCACGCCTTTGTCCTAATTTCTGGTGGTTGCCGGTAACCCTTGGTGTCCCTTGGAGTCTAGCTGCATCACTCCAGTCTCTACCTCTATCGTGACATGGCGTTCTCCTCTCTGTGTCTGTGTGCCAACTTAGAACACCCACCCCAATGCAGTATGAGCACATCTTAACTTGATGACACTTGCAAAGGCCCTATTTCCAAATATAGTCACATTCACAGGTACTAGGGGTTTTGTATTTTGAGGGTGGGGACACCATTCTACCCACTACAGCCACTGGCACACTGGCAGCTCTTTTTCTTTTCTTTCGGCCGTGCCACGCGGCGTGTAGGATCCTAGTTCCTCGACCAGGGATCGAACCTGCATCCCCTGCAGTGGAAGCGTGGAGTCTTAACCACTGGACCACCAGGGAAGTCCCCCTTTTTTTTAGCAGCTCATTACTAGAGACATTTAATAAGCACCTCATGGGCACTGGGGCCAGCCCAGGCATGGGGCTCCTAGTCTCACAAAGCTTACAGTCTATGACCAAAACATGTGGCAGAAGCTTTGGGGGACAGGGCTGGGGCTCAGCAGGGGGTGTGAGTGCCCAGGGGCCACGTGTTGGAATGCTGCCCTCAGAGTTGGACTAGGAAAGCAGGCAGGCTGGGGGAAGGGGCTGCAGCCTCGGCCCCCAGCCCTTCCCTACCTTCCCTGGCATTTGGATAAACCCACAGAGGAGCTTGTGACATCTGGAGCCCATGTAAACGGAGCATAAATTAGCTCTAACAATCACATCTGCAGCCGCCATGCTGCAGTCTGTTTCCTGCCGAACGCTGGGTGGGCTTGGCGTGGGCAGGAGGGCAGAAGCTGGTCCCATATGTGCCTGAAACCCTCACTGATAGCATCGCCGTGTTTAGAAGCTTCTGCTGAAATGTGTTCGTGTTCGGGACACACGGGACCCAGGATTCTCTTCATAGATGGTGGAATTGGGGTGTTAAGAGATGTGGACATAGACAGGAGAAAATTTGAAGGGTGGAGAAGGAGGGATGGGGCACCTCCGGGGGTGAAGGAAGGTAAGGGCAAGACCAAGTGGCGAAGAGTCCATGGGCGGGTGCACAAGCAAGAGCCGGTGTGGCCTCACACCCTTCTCCATGCTCCCTCCCTCCCACCCCACGCTGGGGGTCCCAGAGCCAGCCAGGGTGGGGGTGGGGAGCAAGGGGCCACCGTGGACCAGACCTTTACATAAATTAAGTCATTGTCCTTCATCTAACCTTGACCATGTCCTTGTGAGGGTGGTTTGTATCATGCGCATTTTACAGATGAACAAACTGAGGGGCTGAGATCGTACCATTAAGAGGCATCTATACCAGGACCCGAACCAGGTGCTCCGACTCTTCCTCGTCTTCACTGTGTCACCCTGCACCTGATCAAGAAAGGGTGTTGCACATGTGTGTGCATGAGTGTGAATATGTGAATACGTGTGTGCAGAGTGTCAGCGTGTGAGTGTGTGTGTGAAAGTGAGGGGAGGCAGCCACAACCCAAGATCAAAGTGTAGGAACCAGAACCTCCTTCCCCCTCCTGCCCCAATCAGCAGGGCCACCATGGGTAGTCATCCTCCAGTCTTAAACACCTACTGTATACAGGGACCAGCGCTTTGACGTGCACAGCCGCTTACCCACCTACTCATTCATTCAATTTCACAAGCCATTTCATGAGCACCTACCACAATCCAGTCTCTGCACCAGGCACTGGGGACACGAGATGAGTGGGGCAGTCCCTGACCCTAAGGTGCTCGCTCTCCAGTGCAGGGGGGCGCAGCCGTGGAACAGCTGAACTTGGTAGCAAACTAAGAGATTACTTGGACGCCAACTTGGTTGGCGTCCTAAGAGATTAAAGAGATAGGTTTCCAGAGGGTGGCGTTTGGAAATTTGCTTCCCGAGCACAGGGACCATGTCTGGTTCATGCTGAATCCCAGCTCCCAGCGCAGTGCCAGGCACACCACAATTGCTTGCGCCTGTACGTGTTTGTTGAATGACTATTGATTGAAAGGTGGGCAGGTTCTCAGCACGCAGAGTTGGGGTAGCTGGGCATCCTGGCTGAGGACCCTGCGGTGCAGAGGTGGGGAAGCACTGAGATGTCTGGAGGAACAGCTTTTTGGGGAGGCTCGACTAGGAAAAGCATGTCCCCGAGAATGAAATAGACCTGAGGGAATCCTGGCCCCAGCGCTTATGCACTGGCTGGGTGAGTCTAGGCAGGTTTCTTAACCTCTCGGATCCTCTGCATTATCATCTCCAAAGCAGAGCCTCCGATATTTGCACGGTTATTATTATTTGGGGGGAAGTGTTGTCCTTTTTATTGTGGAAGCCTTTAAACACATAATGAAGGGGAAAGAATAGAATAATGAACTCCCATGACCCCATCCTCCAACCTCAACACTTACCAACATTTTGCCATCCTGGTTTGAAGATACTTAGATGGTGATTAAACCCAGTAGATGAGTGACAACAATAGCAGTGGCTCTGGCGGGGTTAGGACACGTGGGCAATGACAATTCCACCGTCACTGCTGCCTGGCAGCAGGGGGTAGGGGGTTGAAGGGAGTGGGACTGGAGGTCACAGCTACTGCAAGGTGCACCTGGATTTCAGAGACGTTCAAAGGTGAAGAAACGCGTGTCCTAGCATTGATGAAAAGCAGCAGTGAGGCCAGGCTGCATTTTACTTGTGAGACATAGAGTTCGTACCTAAGGTGGGGAAGAGGTCAAGATTTTCCTCACTCGATGTTTTGTGAGTTTCCCTGTTAGTTAGTTTGTTTGTTTCAGAGAAGAGCCCCTTGCAAGGTTATTAGGATTAGAAGTGATCATGGGGTGTAGGGAGGTGGCTGCTTGCGGTGTGGTTGGGTGTGGAGGATAGGACCGGGAGAGGCGACCCTTGGGCTGAAACCTAATTAACACGGAAGAACATTCGAGGCAGAGGGACAGGCTAGAGCTGACCTTTAGATTTAGAAATCTGCATGAAGTTAAGTAAGCTGTTGCCTGCACAGTGATGGGGGGGGCGGGGAGCAGGAAACGAGGCTGGGGCAGCAGTAAGATCACTCTTGGTCTTGGGGGCCAACCTGTGACATTTTCTATCTTTATTTGCTCCACGTCTGCCTGTCCCCTCTGGAGTGTCAGCAACTTGGGGGCAGGGACTTTCTCACTGTATTAAGGTTCTTCAGAGAAACAGAATCAATAGGAGATGTGTGTGTGTGTGTGTGTGTGTGTGTGTGTGTGTGTGTGTGTAGATATGTGTGTGGGTGTGTGTGTGTAGATGTGTGTGTGTGGGTGTGTGTGTAGATGTGTGTGTGTGTGTGTGTGTGTGTGTGTGTGTGTGTGGTATTGGCTCATGCAGTTATGGAGGCTGACAAGTGCTAAGACCTACAGTCAGCAAACTGGAGACCCGGGAGAGCTGATGGGGTAAGTTCCAGTCCGAGTCTGAGTTGGAAGGTAGGAGAAGATGGATGTCCCAGCTCAAAGACAGTCAGGCAGAGAGAGAGACAAATCTTTTTCACTCAGTTTTTTGTTCTCTTCGGGCCCGCAGTGGATTGGTTGGGGTCCACCCACATTGGGGAGGGCAGTTTGCTGTCCTCAGATCACAATTCAAATGTTAAGCTCATCCGGAAACACCTTCACAGATACACCCAGAATAACATTTGACCAAATGTCTGGGTACCCTTGGTCCCAGGCAAGTGGACACGTAAAAATAACCCTCATACTCCCAGTACCCAAGACAGCCTGACACAGAGTAGGAGCTCAATCCACATTTATTGAATGAATGAATGCATGAATGATGGGGTTGGAGAGACTTGACTTTGACATGGGATCCCCCCTGTATGGCTGAAGCCACTCTTGCTTCAAATCCACACAAACCCCACCTCCTTCTCTGGGGCATCTTCTCTGCATCTCCCCCTCCTGGGTGTACCTGACCTCTCTGACCTTGGGCCTCCCAGAGCCCTGGGTCACGTTGTCTCTGTTGGGACCCTCCAGGTTGTCCCCAGGGATGGCATCCCAGGGGAGGACCCCTCCCACCCTGGTAGATGTCCTCGGGGGCAGCATCTGGATTCCATTCACCTCCACCTCCTGAACGTGCACATGGCAGATGCCCCCTCCCTGCCCCACTCAACATAAAGGATTCATGGAGTAGATGCTTTTTTTTTGCGGTACGCGGGCCTCTCACTGCTGTGGCCTCTCCCCTTGCGGGGCACAGGCTCCAGACGCTCAGGCTCAGCGGCCATGGCCCATGGGCCCAGCCGCTCCGCGGCATGTGGGATCTTCCCGGACCGGGGCACGAACCCGCGTCCCCTGCATTGGCAGGCGGACTCTCAACCACTGCGCCACCAGGGAAGCCCCTGAGTAGATGCTTTGAAGGATCTTCTAACCCTCAAAAGGGCTCCCCATTCCTCATAGGGTGCCTGGAATCCCCTGGAGCATCAGTCTGAACATACGTGTGGTGTCCTCAGAAGACCCCCAGGGAAGATGTAGAGGGTCCACGTTGCCAGCCCCTGGGAATCGTGAGTATGTGGACGGAGCACAGGCAAGGTGTGTCCCCTTGAGCCCTGGGAGGTAGCCACGGTGGGTATCGCCTCTGTGCCCACGTTACAGATTGGGAAACTGAGGCTTATTTGTCGAGGGGAGTCGCGGCACTGAGAGCCTGAGTGACCTGCCTAAGATTTCCCTGCTGCTTCTCAGAGGAGCCCAGACTCAAATCCAGGGGTTTCTGACTTTAAACTCCATTCGCTTCTTCCCAGACCATTTTGTAGACCACGTCTGGGCCCTGGCCCATCTGTATTAGATTCACTGAGGGAACTGGTTTGCAAAGGCAGGATCCCAGGCCTCACTCTGGAGATTCTGTTTCAATGGATCTGAGTTGAGACCCAGGACTCTGCCTTTTTAGTCAGCTCCCAAGCCAATTCCGATGCTTTCTGAAGTGTGAGACCCACGGGCTACACTCTGCTGCTTGTAAGGGGGTAAGACGTGCATCTCAGGACCTACAATTTTTTTTCTTTTTTTTGCTGTACGCGGGCCTCTCACTGTTGTGGCCTCTCCCATTGCGGAGCACAGGCTCTGGACACACAGGCTCAGCGGCCATGGCTCACGGCCCCAGCCGCTCCGCGGCATGTGGGATCTTCCCGGACCGGGGCACGAACCCGTGTCCCCTGCATTGACAGGCGGACTCTCAACAACTGCACCACCAGGGAAGCCCCAAGACCCAGAATTTTGAAAGCAAGAGTGACCTGGTCTCTGCCTCCCTGAAGGGGGCTGGTCCCCCGGAGCCCTGCTTGATGGGGACTCGGGCTTCTGCCTCTGCCCCCCTACCTCCACAGGGGCTGCTGCCAGCAAGTGAAGCTCTGCTGGTAAAGTCTTTATCGGGAATGTCGCCTAATGCATTCATATCAAACAATAGTGCCTCATACATCATCCCTGCCAGAGGCCACCTCCGCTAGGACAAGCACAGTCCATTACCCTGACGGGCGCAGGCCGTGCGCAAAACAGATAACGGGTCCCAGCTGTGGGGGGCAGCCATGGGAGGGGAGTTGTCACTGCCCCAGCCATCATCAAGGGGACCCTGGGCACCTGCCATTCTGTGCAGTTGGGACAGTCTCACAGTCTTACAGCGCAGTTGATAGAGTATTGGTTGAGAACCTGGCTCTGCATCTTCAGGGAAGTAACTCAACTTCTCTGAGCGTTGTTTTCCCATCTGTAAGAAGGGCTAAGCGTAGTATTTGCTTCACATAGAACTGTAGGTGGGGCTTAAGAAGAGGAGGCCGGTAAAGTGCTGGGCACAATGCCTGGGGAAGAGGAAGCAACCTATAAACAGTAGGTGTAACTATTGCTTTATCAGCAGGTCCCCATTCACGCTGGCCTGCCCCTTTCCAGGGATGGTTGTCAACAGTCCTCACGACCCCCAAGCTCCCGTGGATGCAAAGGGACCAGTCACCCTTCCCAACTGCTAGCTCCCCAGACCCTGAGACAGGGATTTGCAAGCCTGCAAGTCGTTTATTTTGGAAATGAAGCTCACACCACGAGGAGAGTGGCGAAGTGAGGCAGGGCAGGAGGCCGCCAATAAAAGGCGTGTTATAAAGCCCAGCTGTCACTGTGGCGAGTGGGGCGTAAACTTGCGAGGGAGCTCTGGGATGCAGCTGGGAACACGCCAGCTCAAGAAGCTGGGAGCTGGGGTATGTACAGATCAACTCCCATCACCACTGGGGTTGCTCCAGAGGACATGAATCCCCCGGTTTGGCCTACAGGTGACAAAGCAGGCTTCACACACTGGTAGCTAGAGGCTGGATTAAGGTGCACCCAGGTGGTAAGGGTGAGGGGATATGGTGGGGCACTGCTATGGGCTGAATTGTGTCCCCCTAAAAATTCGTACGTTCAAGTGCTAACCCCCAGTACCTCAGAATGTGAGTACATTTGGAGATAGGCCCTTTACATAGGGAGCTAAGGTAAAATGAGGTCATATGGGTCACAGCCACTCCAATATGACTGGTGTCCTTATAAGAAGCTATCAGGACACAGATACACACAAGGGGGAAGCCCATGAGAAGACACAGGGAGGAGAAGGTGACTGTCTCCAAACCAAGGAGAGAGGCTCTGAAAAATCAAACCTGCCCACACCTTGATCTTGGACTTCCAGTCTCCAGAATTTTGAGAGTAAATTTCTGTTGTTTGGCGCTAGTCCTCTGGTTAACATCACACGTGACTTTGAACTGTATGCAATTGAATGCTTTGGCCCCTACTTTTAAATATTATGGCAGGGGGTTAACAGCCTAGAAAGCATTTAAACGGTACTGTGTAAGTGTTAGCTATTATTATTAATCCCATTTTATAGATGACAAACCTGGTGCCAAAGCTGGCAGCTGGCAGAAGGCCAAGGGCAGGAGAGGGCATTTTGGTGCCCCCTGACATGTGAGGACAGAGTGGCTTCACATACCTCCATCCTCCCCAAGGGGCAAGGGGCAAGTGTCCCAAGGGGCAGCAACTTCATTACATGCCCCAGTCTCTCCACATCATATGAGTCAAGTGAAGGGATCATAAACCAGGGTTTTATTAGCTGCCCTATTGGTGGGTGAGCTGGGCTGGGCTGGGTCTCCTCCCTGAGCCCCTGAATAATCCAGGAGGGCATACCTAGGGCAGACAGGAATGGAGGCTGGGTTTGGGGTTGCATAGCAGCCCAGAGAGTAGGGGAGTGGGCCAGGGTCTTAACAGCGTGTGATTAAAGACCCTAGTAATTGTGTCTGACAGGGGACTCATCCCCAGGGCTGGAGAGGAGGGGGATACCAAAGCCCAGATGTAGCCTGGGGTTGGAGGCTGATGGGGATAGGGGAGAACCCCACTCGGAGCTCCTGAGCAGTGAGTCCTGTGCCATACATCACCCGACACGCCTTTCCGTGGGACCGGCCTGGCTGACAGCAGCCATTTATCTGAATGTCTTTGGCAGTAAACTGGCGAGGGGGAGGGCAGCGAGGAAGGAGGCAGCCAGGGGGCGGGGTCTCCTTGGGAATTTCCCAGAGGCCAGTTCGCAGCCCCAGCCTCGGAGGGGAGCTGTTATAAGCAGAGAGGTGCTATCCGTGGTGCTGAATCCCACCTGCCCCTTTCTCTTTCTCCCTGGGAACAAAGAGGGCAGAGGTGGGGAAGTCCTGTGAACTCAGTGCTACCCTGTAATCAGATGGGAGCTGGGGGGCAGCCCCAGTGGTGAGACACTTACAGGGGAGGAAGGTGACAGTCATATACTTCCATGGTTATGGACATGAAATGTGGAGCCATAGTCCTAGTGTGTTCGTTCATTTAAAGGATATTTATTTATCAAGAACAGGTTCCCCAGGACATAGTCCCTGAAGATGTCAATCAGTCATACAACCTAAAAAATGTCGACACTAACTGTGTGACCTTGGGCAAGTTACTTAACCTCTCTGTGCCTCAATGACCTCATCTGTAAAATGAGGGTAATAATCATAGCCACTTCAGAGGGTTGTGAGAGGATTGTGATTATGTAATTAAAGTGCTTAGAACAGAGACTGGCTCATGGAAAGTGCTCAATAAGCCTTAGCTCGAGTTACTGTCATTATTTATACTATGAAGTGTACAGGGAGCTCTCAGAGGCAATAACAGGGGGAGCCAGACTTTGTTCAGAGAATCAGGGAAGACCTGAAGGATGATGAAAGCTTGCATGGGGGAGGTTGGAAGGCATTCCAGGCAAAGGGGACAGCATGGGCAAAGGCCCTTAGGCAGGAAAGGTGCAGGACACCATCCAAGAGCTAAAAAGAAGCCAGAGGGGCTGGACCACTGAGAGTGATGGAAGAGCCTCAGTTTCTTAATCTGTTAAATGGGTATAATAGTAGAACCTACCTCCTGCAAAGCTGTGAGGGTTAAATGAGATGGTGTGTTTAAAGGTCCTAGCACAGAGCCTGAGCACTCATGCTGATTGGTTAGCTTCCTGGTTCCAAGCCCAGGGAAGCCACATTCAGTTTGCCACACCCCACATCAAAGCTGGAAAGGACTTCAGAGGCCATTCATTGTACAGATAGGAGCACAGAGGACTTTAGAGAGATCCACTGGAAAGGGAGGCTGCTGGGGCTGCTTGTTCCAGCCTCCTTAGATGGGAGAGAGTGTGGGGCAGTGAAAACAGTAGTCTTGGGGGGTTGAGGGGTGGGGTGAAGTCCTGACCCCAGTGCTAACCTGTTGTGGGACTTGGTGGGATGGATGCCTTGAGGCACTCAATTTCTTCATCTGTAAGATGGGGATAATAACACCCAGAAGGCATTTATGGTTATAAGAGTGGGTCAGACACTTGGAAACCCACAGGGACCAGGCAGACGATGTAAAGGAGACTTCCCAAACTAGTCTTACTTCTCAAGAGAACCCTAAATCCCGATTTTATGTAGGATATCCCTATTTGTAAGTGTTAGAAACTAATTTAAGCTTTTTAAAAACACAAGGTGGGTCAAAGCTACCATGTTTGTGGCTTGAATTTGATCTGTGGACTGCCAGGGTGTAGCCTCTGGCAGAAGGTGATGTACTTAGCAGGTGCTCGATAAGTGTGGTCCCTTTCTCTTGGGGAGCCTCTCCTTCATCCACCTCTATGCCGACACATGCCTTCTAGGAGTTCAGACCTTCCTCTAGAACCCTCGAGTTCAGGAAGGGGCTGAGTCCTACCCAGATCTAAGCCTCTGGCCATTCTCACCCCTCCTCTGTCCCCATCCCGGGAGATCCTGTCTTACCAGGAAGGCGCTGCCTGCCTGGGGACCCAGGATCACAGAGCACACAGGTGGCTGGTGTGGGAGGTACGTGTCACAGCCTCGTCATCAGCATGGCGGCCCCCTCCTCCTGTCTGTGGCGTCAAGAAACCCTGAGAACCAGTTGACACAACTCCCCAGGGAGTGTACCTGCCTCGGGGAGTGGTGGCTGTGACTCAGAGGTGCAACTGGGCTCGGATGTTGGTGGAGGCACCAGTAAAACAGGCAGAAAAGGAGTGATAGCAAGTCAGAGCTACATGGGGCCTTTTAGGGCAGCCCAACAGTGTTCCGTGGAGAAACAGAGGCCTGGAGAGAGGAAGGTCACATGTCTACTGATTCGTAACTGAGTGCTTTTTCCGTGACATCTTCCTGCCAGACCAAGATCTAGAGCAGGGATGTCAGAGTCTGGGGAGGAACCACATTTCTTGGTCTTCATATCCCCTAAGTCATGGGAAGAAGAGGCCTACGGACTTTGTTTCCATCCTGGTTCTGCCGCTTACTGTGTGTCCTTGGGCAACTCACATAGCCTCTCTGGTCCTCGGTTTCATCATCTGTAAAGTGAGAATAAACGCTTTGCCAAGGTTAAAATGAGAGCTTGTGTAGAATGCCTGGTTCATAACGGATGCTTCAAAGTCTTTTTCTAAAGGCACTTAGATCTGGCCTCCTTTCAAAAAAGGCTTAGAAGTGGCTTACAAACACACACTGCAATGCCAATGCAGGAAAGACCTAGATGAGAGGACGGGATGACAAGATGGGGGGTAAAGTCTTGTATGGTGGTGAGCAGGGGGCCACACATCTGGATCAGAGTTTCCTGGCAGCCACAGCAAAGGGAGAAATACAACCATCATGTGACTCTTGGTATCCATAAGCTGAGGAACTACTGCTTGCTTAGGGAAAAAAATTAACTTTTCTTGGTAACGGGATATGAGTCATTTCTCATGTGAGTCTTCAAAAACAGGGCCTGTGGCAAGAGTAATTCTCTTTCCTTTCCACTCCCTCGCTTCCTTCTCTAGCTATTCCTTGGGGTCACCCAAACCCTACAACCATAGCTGATGGCATAATGGTTAAGAGGCCCAGCCCTGAAGACAAAACCAGTCTCCACCTCTGCGCAGCCTTGGGCTCGAGACCGCCCCTCTCTGAGCCTCAGTTTCCTCATCTGTAAAATGGATGGTTATAGAAATAACTACCTCTAGGTTCTCGAAAATTAGAGGTGGTGAAACAGCGTGTAAAACACTGACCAGCTTAAACTGGTTTTGCTTCCTTAAAATGGGTTGTTGATTAATCTAACCTGGAGTTATTTTTACAGACAGCATTGCGCATGTGCAAAATGGGAACGCATGCCTCCAGGATGACCCCGGAACCAGGAATCTTCAGCTGACGGAACTTAAAGAACAGAAATGTTGCCAGCGGAGCCCTTTACGAAACGAGAAGTCCTTCAATCAGGAGACTCTGGCTTCCAGCAGTAGCTTATTTGGACTGATTCGAGACTAGCCAATCAGCTTCCAAGTCTGAAGTTCCCTTAACCCGTTAAATTTCACCCAGAAGCCTGGATTGAGGAGAGAGATTTGAGTCCTGCTTCCTGTTTCCTTGCAGGTCGACCTCGCAGTGAAGCTCTTTCTTTCCTCAAAAGCTGGTGCCATAGTGTCAGCTCCTACGTGCATCAGGCAGCCAGCACTTGCTGGGTAACAGAGGTATCTTCTATAAAGACCTTCAAGTGACATCTTGCATACAGTAAGTGTTCCATAAATGGTGGCTGCTCTTATAGCAGGAACTCAATAAATGGTCACTGAATGAGTATCATAGGGCAGCAAAAGCATTTTCTCTTCCAAACCGTCTCTTCAGTGCTTCTCAGCAGCAGGCGTTCTCCCCAAACCAAATTGAAACTGCGTGTGTGTTTTAATCAATTCCATGGTTTGTGGGAGCCAAAGAGCCCAGGTTAATGGAACACAGCCAAATCCCCCGTGAATTTCTAACCCTCCTTGAAAGGCCTCTGCTTTTTCCTGCTCAGCCACTGGGAAGCTGTTGCCTCCACTCGGGGAGGAGAAATTGAATAATTGATGCAATTTGAATAACACTAGGATTTATAATGATATTGAAATGTAAAGATAAAAGGGGGCGTGAACGGGAGGGGGGCTCATAGCGGAAGAGGCAAGTTGTTAATAGGCACTTAGGGGCTCTGTGGGGTGGGGGGAGCTCCCCTTGGAAACATGTGCTGAAAAGTCATTTGAGAGAGGAGGCGCTGGGAGGGGGGTGGGCTGGGAAATCTCCACCCGGAGAGGGAGAAAAGCCATATTCATAAATAAGATTCGGAAATTTCTCCCGACTCAGCACCACTAACAGGGAGTGGATAATTATTTAAATGCCAAATCATTCCGCTCATTAGAATCCCAAATCATATCTGAAGAAACTGATTGCCCAGGGCAGGAATGAAAGGGGGCGGAGGAGGAAATGGGGTGGCTAGGAAAGCGGGAAATGGGAGGGTCTCCCCGACTTCTGGTCCAGGCCAAGGGGAAGATGGAGTGGAAAGGACGGCAGGATGGGAGGGAGGGTAGGAACATGGGGTGGAAGGAAGTCAGAGAGTCGTGGGTTCAAGGCCAGGATCTGATACTTCCTTATTGTGGGTCTCCTTTGTTACCTTACCTCTCTGAGCCTCAGTTTGCCCAGCTGGAAAATGGGGTTGATGCTAAGATCTACTTTGCAAGCAGCGAATGTTAGCTGCTGTGATTAGGGAGGCAGGACGGAGAGGGGCTCAGGACGGGGCACGGGCTAGGGCTGGGGGAGGAGCCTCGCATAAGCCCCAAGCCAGGCTCCTTTCCCTCCCAAACCTACCCTGTCTCTGACCCCAGTCACAGACAGGAGCTGACTTGAGAGGTGGAGACTGAGTCTCAGAGAGGGTAAGGGATAAGGGACTTGGCCAAGATGACACAGAGCCAGGGACCCCAAGTACACACACATCCTATCACCCCCACGAGTCCACAACTCCCAGCCTCATCTGGCCGCCCTCCCAGGTGCTGGGAGGTCTCCAAGATGGGAGTCGGCTCAGCCCCCGGGGAGCGTTATCCTGTCTGTGGACCGGAGTCACAAGGGCAAGTTGGTAACAATCCAATTATGCCGAGAGATTCCGGGCTGGCTGGTGCCCCCTCCCATGGTGGATGACCATGCCACCCCTCAGAGACGAGCAAGCAAGCGGGGGCCACAAGGAGTGCCGGCTGGGCTCAGCAGGGACGGGAAAACCCCAAAATAGGGAAGCAGCGTGCACTCACGTGCTCTCAATATAACACTATGAGTAGTAGTAATAAGGCAGCCGCACACCTGTTGTGCAATAGCATGTCGGCTTTTATTCTGTGCCAGACCCTGTGCTCAGCATTTTATATCATTTAACTCTCATTAGAACCCTGTGAGCAGAGGCGATGGGGAAGCCGAAGCCTGGAGAGGTGAGGCGACTTGTTCATGCAGCTCAAAAGCTGTGAGGCTAAGGTTTGAACCTGTTGGCCTGAAACCCAAGCCTCTTGGTAGCTCTGGGCTGCCCCCTCCCCAGACTCAGTCCACAGCCAGCGCCTGGCTTTCTCCTCACCATGGCTCTGGGAGATCCCTTAGGTTCTGTTTGCAGGCGAGACCCTCCATAGCCCCACAGAGAGATCGAGAAGGAGCTGGGGTTCAGACATGGGTTGTTCCAATCTCAATCTCACACAGCCCTCTGTCTGCCCCCTCTGGAGCCTCCGGCCCACCTTGCTGACCTCTCTCCACTCTCCCCCACCCCCGTGGCCTCCTGGTCAACGCAGAGAGCAGCCCAGCTGCCACTCCCCCCATCCCTTCAAATAAGACTTGTAGTAGCCACTTGCCTGTCCCCAGAAGCCTGGGGAACCAGGTGGGGCCCCCCACCCGCTTGCTTAAGGTCACCCTGGCGTTCACATTCAGTAGAGGTTGGGGGCCAGGCCTTCCAAGGTTTCCCAAGTAGTAACTGAAACATTAGCTCAATTAATATTTCAGTGGCCCAGTTCTGGCTGGTGATTGCTGCAGCTGGGAAGCTGGGTCCTTTCTCTTCCCAAGAGGCCAAGCGGAGACAGCTGGGAAGCCTTGGGGCCAGGGGCAGTCAGAGGATCTGGGTTGGAGCCTGTCTGCTTGGCTGTGTGGCCTTGATCAAAACCCTTCCCCTCTCTGGGCCGTGTCTGTCAAATGGTGACATCACTCTTTCCTGCTTATAGTGTTATTGGGATTAGCCTGGGGCCTGGCATATGGTCGGTACTCAGTAAATGATAGTATTCGCAATACCTGTGTTTTCCAAGGTGAGCTGCCCATTCTACCTGCTCCAGAATTCCATGGGGTGCTTGTTACAAATACCGTCTCCTGGGCCCCGCCTGGACCGGCAGAGCCTGGATGCTGGGGCCCTGGAGTCTGCACTTGTGCCAAGGGCTCCCAGTGACTCCCCAGCACCCCTGCTTCCTAGTGAGGGAGTAGGAGCCTAGGCTCTGAGACAAGGACTTGCACGTCGGTTTCCTTGTATGTAAATGGGAACAGAGACATTGACCTCTCAGGGCTTCTGGGAGGAAAGAATGAGATTAGGGGCTGGCACATAATAGGTACTCAATAAATGATTTCCCCCCTCCCACCACCCACTCCCCTTCAGTGGAAGACCAAGCATCAGCCCCCTAAAGAGGGGACGAGGGGGGTGTCCTGCCCCTCAGGAGCCTTGTCAGCAGGGCCCGCTCCAAATCGATCTCTTCCCCCCCGTTTTCGCTCACAGCGTCAGCATCTCTTGGGGCGGGAGAAAATGCCAGCATCAGCACACTGCGTGCCCCAGCCAGACACGGCTGCTCTTTATTAATTAACCACCAGATGTTAGTTTTGCATCTTTTATCAGAGGGAGGTTTATCACCAGGACCCTGTATGTCAGGCCATTAGGGAGAGGCAGGAAAACATCCCTTGGGGGGCCCTGGAGTTGGCAGGGAGCGGGGAGGGGGACAAGAAGCATGGTCGCCAGCCCAGAGCACCCCTCCGCCCTGGCCACCCCCCGCCCAGTGCCTCCATGGTCACGTCCACAGTGGCCATTTGGCCCATTTGAAGTGGCTACTTGTACATCAGCTCACAGGGCCACCACGATGAGCAAACCAGGCCCAGTCCCTGTTCTCCAAAGCTCACAGTCAGTTGGTGAGATAGGCACATTCCAATAAACCCAAATAGATAAAACTATGACAAATTGTAAGCGGTGTCATGAAGGAAACTGACAAGGTTTTCAGAGCAGGCGAATAGCTGGCAGGGGACCTAATTTAACGGAGCAGTTTCCCTGGGGAGGTGACATTTAAGTGGCCTCACGGAAAAGGAGCCGGGGCAGAAGATTACAGGCAAAGGGCACAACAAGGGCAAAGGCCCTGGGGCAGGAACCGGCTCAGCGTGTTTAAGGATCTGAAAAAAGATCCGAGAGGCTGGAGCGGGATGAAGGAGGAGGCCACCAGGATGCTGAGGTCAGGGGGGCATACGGAGGATGCTGAGGTCGTGGGGCATACGGAGGAGCATGGATTTCTCGTGTTGAGGGCACCAAGGGGCCACAGCAGGCTGTTGAGCAGGGGAGCGATGTGATGATGGGATTTTGACAAGAGAAAGCACCCTCTCTCTGCCCTGGAGGGTGACGGACGGGTTAGAGGGGAGGGAGGGAAGCCCTCCAGGTGGTCAGTCTGGGAGAGATGGTGAGCTCTTAGCATTGACTGGGCACTAACAGGGTGTCGGACAGTGTTCACATGCAAGAAATATTATGAAGCAGAAACGGGGGGCGAGGGTGAAAGAAGGGTGTAAGGTGACTCCGGGTGCCTTGCTCCAGACACACCCGAGTCCTCTCACGCCCCCAGCACCCACGAGACTGGAATTAGGATCATCTTCATTTCACAGATGAAGAAATGGGGGCCCAGTGAAGTGTAGCAGCTTGCTCAAGGTCACACAGCGAGGAGCAGCAGATCCCACACTTGAACTTGGTCTGCCTGCTGCGCTGTCTTTCCTGCAAACAGCTGCCCAAGCTCACGCAGGCTGCAGGTAACTGCTGTCTTCCTCCTGCTGTTTCGTGAATGCTGTGCTACCCTCCACCAGTTACCCAGCGAAGTCCACTGGGCGGAGCAGAGGGGGCCCGGCTGACCCGAGCAGGTAAGGGCCAGTGGGTCCCAGATCCAGCCCTTAACTTGTCCAAGGCACAGCAAATCCAGACACGAGTCTATGTTACTTCCTTTCAAATTGATGTGACACCGTTACCCAGGGTGATTATTTTCTGCCTGATCCACTCACCATCCGATAAACAGGTGATTACTTCTCCCAGTTCAGTTTCTGATTTGCATACAATAAATATCACCCCCTGGAAGTGTGTGTGTGTGTGTGTGTGTGTGTGTGTGTGTGTGTGCGCGTGTGTGTTGGGGGTGGAATACAGGTCTCATGTCTTATTTATGAGAAATAAACAGGAGCATGAGCTCGCATAATCAACACATATTTAATCTAGCTCTTTTCGCCCTTTTGACTCTAATCAGGCCAGGTCTGTGCATGGCTGTGTGTGTGTGTGTGTGTGTGTGTGTGTGTGTGTGTGCGCGCACACACCTGCACACTCACAGGCTGCAGGGGGACACCCCTGCCAAGATCTTCATCCCAGCCTGTTCTGGGGCTGATGGTTGGGGCACAGGCTGCCTAAGAGGTCTCCTGAACCCCAGCACACTTAGTTTGAGGATGCAGGCTCAAGGTATGGGAGGGGGGCAATTGCATCCCCCCAACAACTTCGCAGAGGTTAATTATTTTAAAATTGTCGAAACATCTTTGAACCGTCAAAAGTACCAGCAATATAATTGGGCGGCATTAGCCACAGTTCTGTTGGCAGTGACATCCAACATCACATATATATATATATTTTTTTAATTTATTTATTTAATTTATTTATTTTTGGCTGCATTTGGTCTTCTTTGCCGTGCACGGGCCTTCTCTAGTTGTGGCGAGTGGGGGTTTCTCTTCGTTGCGGTGCGCGGACTTCTCATTGCAGTGCCTTCTCTTGTGGTGGAGCACGGGCTCTGGGTGTGCAGGCTTCAGTAGTTGTGGCACATGGGCTCAGTAGTTGTGGCTCGCGGGCTCTAGAGCGCAGGCTCAGTAGTTGTGGTGCACGGGCTTACTTGTTCTGCGGCATGTGGGATCTTCTTGGACCAGGGCTCGAACCTGTGTCCCCTGCATCGGCAGGCAGATTCTTAACCACTGGGCCACGAGGGAAGTCCCTCAACATCACATATTTTTCATCAAGATAGAAAAGCCAAACAGAAAATTTTTTTTAAAAAGCTAAGCATTGCATGGAGAATCAAGGTCACGTGCTCGTAAATGCCAGAGCCAAGGCTTGAACCTGGGACTCTGACTGCAAAGCCCAAGTTAGTAGCACCCCATGATGCTGCCTTCCTGACATGATGAGTAAGAGATCTGGGAGAAACCAGCAGTGTGATCACCTACTGCCATCCAGCTCCTGTTCCACTGATAGAGAAACTAAGACCATAAAAGTAAGGGGACTTGCCCATGGTCATATCCAAACCGTGTCAGAGCTGGAATTCAAATCCAGGTCTTAATTGTGTGCGTGTATGTTTAAAAAATAACTGTTTTGGTATGTTGACCTAGGCAGAGCACAGAAGAGATAGCTGTGTTTGCTCACCAATGACTGGGTCCTAATTTGGAGTGGTTTGAAAGACTAGAAATCTGTCTGGGGTGGCAGTTCTGGCTGCCAAATGGGCTCCTTGGTTCTTCTCCAAGTTGCATGTGCGGGGACTGAAATGTCCAACATGGCTCGCTCACTTGCATATCTGATGCCTGGGCTCAATGGCTGGGACAGCTGGAGCTTCTTCAATATCTCCCTCCTTTCTACACAGCCTCTCCACTCAGCTAGCTTGGGCTTCCTCACAGTATGGCGGTCTCAGAGTAGTCAGGCTTCTTTCATGGCGGCTGACTTCCACCAGAGAAAGAAATGTGAAATCTTGGGTGTGTTTTCTATTTTGGTATGCTTGTTTATTTTTATGAATGTATCATTTTTATGCAAACGCATATGATGGATGTGTGGTGTAAAAATTCAAACACTATGGAAAAGTGCAAAGATTAGAGGGGAAAAAACCACTCAAGATTCCACTACCCAGAAATTAACATTTGGTGAACTTTAATCAAGGAAACTTTTTCTTTTAATTTTTATTTATGTGGCTGTGCCGGGTCTTAGTTGCAGCAGGCGGGGTCTTTAGTTGCTGCATGTGGGATCTTTTAGTTGAGGTATGCGGGATCCAGTTCCCTGACCAGGGATCGAACCAGGGCCCCTTGCATTAGGAATGCAGAATCTTAACCACTGGACCACTAGGGAAGTCCCAAATCAAGGAAACTTTTTACAACAAAAAATAAAAAGAGCAGAATGGGGAATTCCCTGGCTGTCCAGTGGTTAGGACTCGGCACTTTCGCTGTCGTGGCCCAGGGTTTGATCCCTGGTTGGGGAATTAAGATCCTGCAAGCCGTGTGGCGAGGCCAAAAAAAAAAAAAAAATCGGCGAACGGATGGATGGATAGATGAGGGAGAGATGGGTGGATGGATGGATGGGTGGGTGGGTGGTGGGTGGTTGATGAGTAAATGGAGAAAACAAAAGATAGAGGAAAATTCTGACTGTTGAGGATTCTCAAAGCTGGGAAGGGAGACAATTAAGTTTCTCAGTGTTGGAAAAGTAGTGATGAGAGGCCGGTCACCCTAGACCAATTACTACTATTACTATTATTACTTCCACTATCACTACTCTTATTATAACTACCACCACTATTGCTGCTATTACTACCAGTATTGCTATTACCACTATTACCAATATTACTATTACTGTTGCTGCCATGATCACTACTATTGCTACTTCTTCTCCTCCCTTTTTTCGCTTCTGCTGTAATTTTTATTGTTATTTTTAAGTTATTACGAAGGTAACACATGTTCATGATAGAAAAATCAAGGAAGAGGTAATTTCAAAGACAAAACTCACCCTCAAATACCACCATCCAGAGGTGTCAGCGCCTGGCAGGTCCCATTCCTCAGTGGGGTCTGCAAGGCCCTCCATGGCCAGCTGCTGCCCACCTTCCCATCTCATCTCCTCTCTGACCATGCGCTGCGGTCAGACCAAACCTCTGATGCCCCCAGACCCACCTGCCTTCCCTCCCCTTGTCTTTGGGCCTTTGCAGGGGCTGTTCCTTCTGCTTGGCATGGCCTTCCTCCATCAGGCTCACCCCCATGCTCCCTGGACTCTGAGCAGAGACACACATCCTCTAGGGAGCCTCTCTGAGCACCCCACCCCCTAGACTTGGTCAGGGGTCCCCTCTGGGCCCCAACCATCCCTGAGTGTCCCCTGCAGAAGTACACCTCACCCTTCTTTGTTTATCTGTCTTTCTTCTCCACTGTAGAAAGCAGGGACCATGTTGCATCACCTCTGTGTGCCCAGCATGGACCTGCCACATAGTAGGGGCCTCCATACGTGTTTGTTGAATGAATAAGTGAACGTGTCAGTCTGGAAAGGTTTCCTAGAAAAAGTGGCCTATGACCCATGCTCTCCTGGCGGTACTGGGGAAGAAAGCAGTCAGGGTGTAGGGCCAGGCAGCTTCTTCTACACCAAATGACAGCTGTCTGCATTGACTTTTGATCTGGGCTGTCACCTGGGCCCAGGGGCCCCATGTTTGCAAACGCATCAGGCTCCCAGTGGAGTGTTTGAGGAGGGCAGTGTGCTCCCGCCCTCCCGCACCACTGAAGAGGCAGCGTCAGACACGAGAAGCAGGGTTCCTCTGTGCACTATTGATTTGTCATAACTGCCTGCCGACAGACAAGGTGAACAGTTCACTTTTATGAATCCTTATTAACAGTGTGGCAAGAGGTATTTCACTTTAAGTGCCCCCTTTTTGCTGAAAAAGAAAAAGAACAGAAAATGTAAATTATCTCATCACAGAGAGATGCTGAGAGCTCCGAGCTGGGGCCTTCAGAGGAGACAGAACAGAGACTGGCTGGGACACGAGGAGGGGAGGCCCCTTCACGTCCCGTAAGTGGTCAAGGCTGGCTCCGTGGAGGTTCCCAAAGCCGAGGTCGGTGGGGAAGGCAAACTTGGCAGGGGGAGCGTGGCCATGCGGCCGAGGGCTGTGGAGCAGGTGGTTACAGCATGGAAGCCAAGTCTGTGCTTAATGGGCAAAGAGAAAAGCACAGGAATGCTCATGGCAACCTTAAAAATAGCGTAAAACTGGAAACAGTCTAAATGTCCTTCAACAAGGGACTAGATACCTGTATATTATAATACAGCCATTTGAGTGGAATACTAGGCAGCTAAGAAAAAGAATGAGATCATCCTGTGTGGACCAGTAGAGAAGAAAGTATATGAGATATTACTGAGTGGAAAAAGCAAGTTACAGGACAGTTTATAGTGTGCTCTCATTTACATAAAAGTAGGCATATATGTGCTTCATGTGCATGGAAACTATGTAGAAAGAGTCACACAAATATCTACTCACAGCAATTCTCTCTGGGAAGTGAGACCAAAGAACCGGGGATGGGGTCAGTTTTTGATTTTCATTTCATCCACTTTTGTGCCAGTTTAATTTACTTTTTACTATGTGCAGTAGGACTTGTATTTTTTAAAAGTTTTAACTCTTTTAAAATGTTCAGCTCCAGGGGGGTAATTTAATTGTCTCCTTTATAACCTTCTCCATGGTTTGAGTTTTTTTTTTACAATAACCAACTAAGATGTCTGTAAGTATAAAAATGTAATACAAAATTTTTGGACAAGAAAACACTGGTTTTGGAGTCAAGCCGATCTGGTTCTTGTTCTCAATCTTCCTTCTACCAGCTGAGTGACATTAGGGAAATGACTTAATCTCTTTGAGCATCAATTTCCTGCAGCAATAGTGGATATTAATAGTATATACAGATAATCTGCAAAAAACCCCACAACTGAATCCCTATGCTGTGTACCTGAAACTAACACAATATTGTAAATCAACTATACTTCAATTAAAAAATAGTATATACAGAGCAAGCATACAGTAAATAGTAGCTTTAGCCTTATAATTATCATTATCCCATCGAGAGAAATGGCAAACCCTTGCATGCCCTCCCAGTTGGTGAATTCATACCCATCCCTGTGACAGACCCTAGGAAGCTATTTTAAATGATCCTCAAACAGTTTTTAGGTATGTAATTCATTTACAAATGGAATCTTAGGTAGAAACCCAATACGTGTAAAACAGGAACAAGAACGTTTTAGTAGCATTCAAACCGTGACATTTGTACTCAGGGATGTTTGCAGCCTCCTGGCCATCCTGCATCCTTTTTCCTTTTTGTTTTTTTCTTTTTTCTTTTTTTTTTTTTTTTTGCGGTATGCGGGCCTCTCACTGTTGTGGCCTCGCCCGTTGTGGAGCACAGGCTCAGGACGCGCAGGCTCAGCTGCCATGGCTCACGGGCCCAGCTGCTACGCGGCATGTGGGATCTTCCCGGACCAGGGCACGAACCTGTGTCCCCTGCATCTGCAGGCGGACTCTCAACCACTCCGCCACCAGGGAAGCCCCTTTTTCCTTTTGGTGATAACATCCTGACCTTCCTTCAGGGGGATTGTCCTTCCTCCTCTCTCAACTCCCCACCCCCACCGGAGTTGGTATTTACTCAATGCCAAAGACATCCCCTGGCCACAGGGAAAGGTTCAAGGACCAGACTGTGACCAATGTGAGCCAGTCAGGCTTATGATTTCCATGCAAACTATAGAGGGAAAGAAGGTCCTTTTTCTCCTAGATTTGAGCCTGAGATGGGGGTTGGGTAAGCCTAGAGCTGTCAGAATTCACCCCTGGAGTCTAAGAATGAAGCCAATACCCTGAAAGGCAGAGCTGAGAGATGATGAATACTTGAACGCTGGTGGCATCATGAGAGCCCCTGAATCACGCTGTGCCTGAAAGTAGCACCACCTCTGGAGATTTTTGTTGCAAGAGCCATTTATGCTCTAGCCAGTTGGGTTTTCTATCACTTGTGACCAAAGACAGGCTAAATAAGATAATATATGTATTCATAAAGCCAGTTAGAAAAAACAAGGAAGTTGCTTTGACAGATGTAAACATTTGAAATCAGGCGTTAGGGATGACAGGTGCTGTCTTGTATCAGCCCCACATCTAATTTATTTCCATATTTGTTTCTGTTTTTTTCTTTTGGCCACACTATACGGCATGCAGGATCTTAGTTCCCCAGTGAGGGATCGAACCTATGCCCCATGCAGTGGAAGCGTGGAGTCTTAACCACTGGGCTGCCAGGGAAGAACCCTGTATTTGGTTTTGATTGCCCAGCGTCAAGAAAATTTGGAATCATAGGTAAGTAGAGCAGCAATTTAGTATAGGGCTTTGGTCCCCAGGCTCTGGAATAAGACAGTCTGGGTTCAAATCCCTACCCTGATCCTCACCAGCTGTGGGACCTGGGGCAAGTCACTTGACCTCTCTGAGTCTCCATTTCCTAACACCTACGTCACTGGAGGGTTGGAAGCAGTAGATGAGTTGCTCCGCGTGAAAGCATTTAAATAGTGCCTGACACCTGGCCTGGGTGAGCTCTTGTTATTATTATTTTTTTAACACCTTTATTGGAGTATAATTGCTTTACAATGGTGTGTTTCTGCTTTAAAACCAAGTGAATCAGTTATACATATGTCCCCATATCCCCTCCCTCTTGCGTCTCCCTCCCACCCTCCCTATCCCACCCCTCTAGGTGGTCACAAAGCACCGAGCTGATCTCCCTGTGCTATGCGTCTGCTTCCCACTAGCTATCTATTTCACGTTGGGTAGTGTATATATGTCCATGCCACTCTCTCGTTTTGTCACAGCTTACCCTTCCCCCTCCCCATGTCCTCAAGTCCATTCTCTAGTAGGTCTGTGTCTTTATTCCCGTCTTACCCCTAGGTTCTTCATGACCTTTTTTTTTTTCTTAGATTCCATATATATGTGTTAGCATACGGTATTTGTCTTTATCTTTCTGACTTACTTCACTCTGTATGACAGACTCTAGGTCCATCCACCTCACTACAAATAACTCAATTTCATTTCTTTTTATGGCTGTGTAATATTCCATGGTATATATGTGCCACATCTTCTTTATCCGTTCATCCGATGATGGACACTGAGGTTGTTTCCATCTCCTGGCTATTTCATGTACCAAAATGTTCATTGCAGCTCTATTTACAATAGCCAGGAGCTCTTATTATTCTGCCGTGTTCCTGCTTGTCGGAGCACCTGTGTGCTGCCTTGAGCTGAGAGCTCTGAACCAAACCTCGCCTGCTGCGTCGGTTTCACTGACAACCATCCCGAGGTGGCAGGGTAAGCTTTTACAAAAACGTATCGGCACCTGCTTATCTGCGGCTTAGGTTTTCTGGAGAGTGACCTCGGTGCTGTGCTCCAGGGGAAGGAGTCCTAGAGGAGTTGGAGGGACGTGAGCTTGAGCTCAGAGGGGACTATTCCGGTGCCTGACGTTGTCTAGGGATGGACCAGGCTGTCCTCCAGGCAATGAGCTCCCTGCATTGGGAAAGAGTGCACAGTGAGGCTGGGCTGCCGTGCGGTAAACGTGTCGTAGCGAGGATGCCAGCGCCAGACAGAAGGAAGGCTTCATTCATTCATTCATCAAATATTCACTATGACCCAAGCACTCGGCTGAACATCCCCCCCTCACGCTCAGATGAGGTCATTTCATAAAGAATTTCTTGCTAAGATAGGACTCCCTCCGCCAGCCTTCTAGGGGCCGTTTTCATTTTTAAAGAGGACCCTGTGTCAATGGTAAGAAAAGGGTTTCTAATGGTGGACTCCCGGGTGCTTGGGCAGCTCACCCGGGCATAGAGATGGGAGGAGGCCCACTCATCTCGCCTTGCATCTTGCATGACCAAAGTGGACGGAATAAGGGAGATGGACATGCCCCACACCCCCCAGGGGGGATTTCAGATCACAGTAGCGGTATTAACGTGACCGGATGAACATGTGACACGTGTGCTACTTCATTTCATCTCAGCTGCCCTGGGCAGCTGTGAGGGTCCCCCAGGCAGGCAGTTTGGCCTCAGGCAGCCCTCCCCTTTCTGCCCACCCCCACCCACCAGAAGTCCTCAACCTCCTCCAGTGCTGGGTGAACAAACAGGCAGGCTGGGGATGACAGGTCTATCAAACTCCCATTTTCAGATGAGGCTCTAGAGGAAAAGGTCTGGCCTGAGGCCTGCCTCCACAACTCCCACAATCCTCCCAAAACCTCCAAGGGTGGTTTTATGCCCATTTCACAGGTGTAGAAATAGAGGCCCAGAGAAGCAAGTCACTTGCCCAAAGTCTCATGTGAGCTGAGCTGAAGCTCAGCCCAGTTCCATCTCATTCCCCATCCTGGGGTTCGCCCTTCCTTGTGGCCTCCCTGAAGTAAGACCGTGCAGGAGAAAGAGTGGGTTGCACAGGCCCATTTCTCGCTCAGGGGACAGTGTGTGTAGTTGGGGGGAGTGGGCTGCAGGCCTGTGGTGGGAAACCATTGACCCGCCTCTTTCTCTGCAGCCTGGGGAATATCTCACCCCCAACGGGGGCTGCAGGTGTAGCAAATACATCTTTATGTTTCTTCCTCTAAATGTAAACGGCAGATGAGTGGGATGTTATGGGATTTGGTAAAATAATAAAACAACAGAAGAGTAATTTGCATTAGGTGTGTGACGAGATCGCAAGAGACAAGTGTTCCTCCGCCCTCGGTTCAGTCCCAGGTCTCCACCTTGGAGGGTGGTGAGGGTCACGGAGGAATGAGTGGGCCCTTCATGTCCCTCTCTCCCTCTCTTCCTCCCTTCCTCCTCTTCCCTCTCTCTCACCTCTCCTTTTGTCTTTCTGCCTCCCTAACCTCTCCTCCCTTTCCCAGCTCTCTGATTTTCTCTCTCCCCAACCCCCAGGAACCCCTCTGGTGCAGCACTACACCCAGAAGCAATTTATAAAGCAGATGTTTATTGCAAGGTTTCACACAAGCTTGGTGCCTCGCCAAACGTTATAGTAATTGGAGGCTGTGTTTAACTACTGATTGATGTAAAGTTGGGACGAGACAGGCCTGGAAACTGCCTTTGGTCTAGACTCTCTTCTCCGTTTCAGAGAAGGCAGGAGGTCTCGGCCCTCCATCTGTCAGCCTGTCCAGAGCCAAGGCCTGGACGGCAGCAAGGAAGGAGGATGTGGGCTTATAAGTAGCTACTGACCCACTGGCTTCTAGGAAATGGCTTTGAGGAGAGGAGACCCAATTCTGCTATTGTCCTTTACTTGCCATCCCATTACTGTGGAGGCCTAGTCTGTGCCAGGCATTTGGGGTTACAGTGATTAATCAGTTTCTCCCAGTGCCTGGACTAAGAGCTTTACATACAGTATCATTCAATCTAACATAAGACAGGTGTGGTAGCCAGGCTCCAAGTCAGCCCTCAGTGATCCCTGCCTCCTGGTATTCATCTGCTGTGTAGTCCTCTCCTACATGAAGAGACTGACCTTTGTAACCAACATTGCAGAAATGACAGTTGTGACTTCCAAGCCTCCCTCATTAAAGACATTGTAGCCTCTGCCTTGCTCTATTGGATCACTTGCTCTAGGGGAAGCCAGTAGCTATATCATAAGGACACTCAAGCTGCTATGGGAAGCTCCACATGGGGAGGAACTGAGGAGCCACTTTGGGGAGTGGAACCTCCAGTCCAAACAAGCCTTCAGATGAGACTGCAGCCCTGGATGACACGATAGCTGCTCATGAGAGACCCTGAGCCATAAACACCCAGCTAAGTTGCTCCCAAATTCCTGACCTGCAGAAACTATGAGATACTAAGTGGTTATTGTGGTAAGCCACCAAGTTTTGGAGTAATAGATAACTAATATAATAGCCACGGGAAAGAAGGAAACAAAAGGAAGACTGGTAAATAGGAAACAAAACAAATATGGCAAGAAAGAGTGCAACCATATAATCACATAATTATATAATCACTATATATGGATATAGATTTTTAAAATCTACTTATATGTTGATGGCATATATTTTATATATGATAGTATAATCACAATAAATGTGAATGAGTTAAATTCACCAATTAAAAGAAAAAATATTATTTCATTCTTTCCTTCAAATAATCCCATAAGAAGCATTTTACACCCACTTTACAGATGAAGGAGTTAGGCTCAGAGTGGGGGGAGAAACCTGCCCAAGGTCTCCCAACTCAAGACTAATAAGGTTGGGATTCAAACCCAGGTCTTTCTGACTGTAAAACCCAAAGCTCTTACACCGCACTGTATTGTTAGCTCCTTTGGATAGAAGAGGAAACTGAGACTCAGAAGGGGTGGGTGACTTGCCTGGGGTCACACAGCAAGTCGTTTCAAAACTGGAGCCAGAACTGGGGAAGATTTGTTGTCTGGTGTCTGCCTCCGTGAACTTCAGGGCTCTGCCATCAAAGCACAAGGATCTCATGGGTCTTCTATCTTCATAGATGCTTAAGACAGCTGGGGACCTTTGGCTGTGGCCAGAGAGACCCTGTGGGATCAGGTTGGGAGTGTTTTCAGGGAAGAACACCAGCACAAAGCAACGTGCAGGGGTACAGAGTGGGGGTGGCTCAGGCATCGAGCTGAACTCCAGTAATTACATCAGGACCAGCAGCATAATTTGTATCTGGGTGATGAATGTCTGTGTTTTCGGGCCTGATTGCCCTATTTACATTTGGAATTTGCTGATCTATTATTAATGTCTGCTGGAGGCCAGGGTGACAGGCATGAGCAGCTGGGGAGTCCCCTCCCCCCCGATCCAGGGAGCACTAGCTCCCCAAAGTCCCACCTTAGTCCCCTTTGTGTGACCCTGACTTTCACAGGGCTCTTGGACCAACTGGCAGAAGGGTTGACCTGGGATGAGGTTTCCCAACCTCTTATCTGAGTGTACACACTCAGATATACATATGCATAAACACAGAATGTGCTTACATGCACATACTTGCACCTGTATATACATCCACATCCTTATATACCAATAGGCACCTTTATAGAAACACGCACATACATGAAATGCATGCATGGACATGCAAACACACCACACTCGTGTACATGCACACTCATGCATGTACATGTGCACAAGTATATAGCACACATACTGTTATGGATTGAACGTCTGTTTCCCCCTGCCCCCTAAATTTATCTGTTAAAACTCTAACCCTCAAAATGATGATGGTATTTGGAGATGATGTCTTTGGGAAGTAATTAGGGTTAAATGAGGTCATGAGGGCGGAGCCCTCATGATGGGATTAGTGTGCTTATTAGAAGAGATACCAGAAAGAGAAATCTGTCTTTCTCCGTGCACATGAACCAAGGAAAGACCATGTGAGCACACAGCAATAACGCAACTGTCTACAAGCCAGGAAGAGAGCTCTCACTAGGAACTGAATAGGCTAGCACCTTGATCTTAGACTTCTTACGCCTCTAAACTATGAGAAAATACATTTCTGTTGTTTAAATCACCCAGTCTGTAGTATTTTTATGGCAGCCTGAGCTAAGACACACACATGCACACACACACACACACACATCCTCATGTGTCTCATCATTCTGGGAGCAGCACAGCAACTTGGCAAGGTCTCCCAACTTGAGAGGGAAGCGTCCATGAACCATGGGCCCAGATAGCCTGGGTTTGAATCCCAGCTCTGCCACTTATCAGCTGTGAGACCTTGAGCTGCTTACTTCGTCTCTCTGTGCTTCTGTTTCCCCATATGTAAAATGGGAATGATAATGTTACCATCTCATAGGGTTGGTGTGAGGATTAAATGAGTTAGTGGAAGTCACTTGCCTGGTGCACCATAAGCAGTAGATACATATTTGCTGTGTTATTATTATTGTTGTTTATGTGCTTGTCACATAATAGGCTCTGAATCATTTTGTTGAAGATGATTAAACACACTCTTCCACACCTACGTATTCACACATAACACACACACACACACACACACACACACACACAAACACAAACACAGTTTGTACCCTCCCCCGTCTCTGCTTCCTCAACTCCTCCTGAACCTTCAAGGACTTCATGGCCTCTTCTCCCTGAAGCCCCTCCTGACTGTTCACTCTTCCATGCCCACCTCGAGGCTGTAGGCAGGATGGGACTGGGGAAAGACCACTGGATTTGGAGTCCCCAAACCAAGAATCAGAACTTGGCCCTGCCACTTGCTGGCAGCATGGTCCTGGTCCAGCCATTCTTAGCCTCACTTTCATGATCTACCCAATGGGCGTAATGATAGAAATGACCTCACAGAAATTGAACCTCCAGGGGGTAGCTAGGGTGGAGTTACAGGCACAGTCCCTGGCCAGGCTGGGTCCTGCTAAGGGAGTGGCTACACTGGCATGCAAATGAGCATACAAATTAAAGCTAAGTCCCTAAGACTCAGAATCCAGGCACTCCCCAAGCTGAAAGGCTCCTGTCTCCAATCAGCTCTTTGCAAAAAGGCACTGGGTAGGAATGGAAGAACACTGGACAGGGAGTCGGGAGATGTGCTCCAGGTACAGCACATACATGCTCACTTGTGGGTGGACGCCCACATCCTTATATCGGCACCTCTAGGCAAACATGCACACACATGCATGCATATGCATGAACATGCAAACGCTTGTAGCCAAGCAGGAAGGGTCTGGACTTGGAGGCAGGTGGTGCTGTGTAGCCGTGCCCGAGACTCTGTACTTCTCTGGGCCTCTGTTTTCCTCCTTTGTAAAAAGGGGTTAGTCATCTCTGGCCCATACTTGGTGTGGTGAGGACTGAATAAGACGATAGAGGGTAAGCTATGACTGTGGTGTGTGGAATACAGTAAGCACTTAAGATATGGCAGCCATGTTTGAGCATCCTCATCTGTGAAGTGTGAGGCTGGAGAGGGTGCTCTCTGAGGCCCCTGCCAGCTCCAAATTTCTGTGGTTCTTTGCGTTTCACTCACCCTCCAACTCAGAGCCTGTCCGCCATCAAGGCTGGAGGGCCTTGCGCACGTTCAAGTAATTGGCCCCCCAAAAAGTGATTCTGCCACTCCTCAATTATGCTGGAACCTATGGCGCATGGCAGCTCTGAGTACTGTGCTGGAGGTCCTGTGACAAATGAGGAAACTGAGGGAAAGGCAGGAGACACCAAGGCCAGCTCAGAGTTGGAGGTGAGACCGACACTGTGACCAGGCTCCTGGTCACTGAGGCAAGGCTTACATAGCCAGCATTTTCTGCAGCCGTCTCTAGTCAGAGCAGAAGCAGGGCCTGGTGGCTGAGCCTGGTGGCTTTCTATTTTAAGATATGTCCCACCCCTGGGTCCCCAGGCCCCAAGCAGTGGCTGGAAATAAAGAACATATAACTGGATGTGAAAACCCCAAAGCTGCAATAACCACAACCTTATCCTGAGTCTTTACTACACACTAAACATTTCCCATATGTTTCATCTCATTTCACCCTCATAACCAGGAAGCCGAGGCAGAGACCCACACATACTTAAGGTCACACAGGGAGCATAGTTGGGACCTGAACCTGAGTCTTCACTGACTCGCTGCCCTTAGCTTAAGCTCCGGCACCTCCCAGAAGCAAAACAGAAAAATGGGTTTGCAAAGTGCAACAGACCAGCCGACCTGAGCACGGCTCCTGGGAGCCATTGCCGGGAGGGGCGGATGCACGGCCCAGCGGCTAAGGCTGCAAGAATCGCCCGCTGCGCCCTCCAGAAAGGGCCCCCAGGTTCCCTGCAATCCCGGGGAAGATTGGGCAGCGAGCACATTAAGGCCATAAATTTGTCATGAAGGCCTGGAAATGAATGGGGCTTATCATTTATGGATGGAATAATTAAGCCACTGAGCTCGGCGGTTCACCAAGGCCTGTGCCCGGACATCAGGCGTCAATAGCTGCTGAACTGGTTTGGGGTGTTCATTATCGCTCTCCCCTTCCCCTCTCTCCTCTCCCCCTCACCCCCGCAGCATCTCAAACTTGACCCTTGGGTGTGCAGACTCCACCAGCACCAAGGCAGGTGCCAGCACGCATTTCAGTAGTGATGGCCCCGCCCTCATGATGTCATACCAGCCCTGGCCAATCCCAGGGAGACCTCTCTCGAAGCTCAGTCCATGGGGGGGGCGGTGCCCAGCCCGCTTAGGTGGAGGTGACTGGCCTGGCTTCTCTTTGGGAGATAAACAGGCTTCTTCATATGGTAGCGAGAAATTTGGACTGACTTGGGTTCAGATCTTGACTCACTCTCCAGCTGTGTGCCCCCGGGCTAGTACTTCAACACTCTAAGCCTTAGTTTTCTCCACTCGAAAATGGGCAAAATAATATTTTTATGGGTTATGTGGTGGATCAAATTAGACAATGGCTGTAAAGTACATAGTGAGGGTGGGTCTGGCTTATAGTAAGTGCTTCACAAATCCAGCATTTCATGACTTTCTCCCAACAGAGTGCTCAGGCAGGCAGGAATCAGAGGCTCAGAGAGGCAACGGGACTTGACCAAAGATGCACAGCAAGTGAGAAGAAAGTGGGCACCTACTCCCTTTCCCTGGAGTTCCTGTGACCTGTCACTTGTGGGAGGGTTCAGCCCATTCCTCAACGAAAGGTTGAGGCTCCTGTTCCCTCCCTGCCCCAACTGCCCCAAGTCAGTGGAGAGGAGAGGTGATTGCAAAGGTGATCGCCACCACTAACATTTATAGAGCTCTTGCAGTGGCCAGGCACTGTTCTAGATGCTCTGCAGTTATTTCACTTTGTTCTCCAGATAATACTCAGAGGTAGGAACCATTATTAGTATTCTCATTTTAGAGGTGAGGAAACTGAGGATTGCAATCAGACCCCTGACTTGAGTCACTCAGCCAAGAAGTGGAATTTGTGTATAATTTCCTATTTCCTGGGTCCCAGCAAAGCCAGGCTTCGGGGGAGGGTGGCAAATTAAACACTATTTGAATTATGAAAGTGACATCACTCAACACATTCCAGAATTCCAGCTTTGATATTCTATATTCTCAAATGGGTTCAAGCCCTCACTTTACAGATGGGAAGACTGAGGCCCAGCCACCAGAGGCAGAACCTTGGCGCTTGCCTACCAGTTCCCCAGGGCCTGTCGCATCGGTGGTGGACACCAAGACTGGTGCAGAAGAGAAGCCTTTGGTACCTGCCTTGAGGAGGAGCCTGGACCCTCCTTGCCACCCTACCCCACCCACCCTCCATCACCGTGGCAACTATGCAGGTGAGCCTCATCACTGCTAATCCTCTAATTACCAGCCACCTCTTCAATCGGCTGTAATTACTTTGGGGACACAGTTAACCTCTCATTAGGAACGCACGACCGCTTTCTCCAAAAGCGCAGTGGTGACATGCCTAGTAATTTACCGCCCCGGCTCGCAGGGCCGCTTTGTGTTTAACTCGGGCGCCATCGCATCCCTGTCATTACTCCAGCCTGGTTGTCATGACGATTAATCATTCAATCCTTCATCAGCAACTTTTGCCAAATGTCACCCCGCTCTTGATCAAAATCCATCCTGCAGCCCGACACTGGGGGACTAATGACTTGGAAATAGGCTTCTCCATTCCCGAGAGCTCTTCCCCAGGACTCCTTCTCAGCTCCCTCCAGGAAAGGGAGAGGAGGGCCTGAGTTCACTGTGGTGGTAGAGTGTGATGGGGGCAGAAAAACTGGCATGTATTGGTGGCTTACTCTGTGCTAGGCACCTGAGGGGCATTGATGGATTTAACCTTCATGACAACCGGATTCCTGGAAGAGGAAACAGAGGCTCAGGGATGCCGGTAGCTTGCCAACAAGGAAGTATGGAGAGATTCGAACTCAGATCTGTTTGACTCCAAACAGAGCTCTTTTTATCAGACCTCTAGGAGGATGAGCATTACCTACAAGCAAGGATCCTAGAATGTCAGAGTTTGGGCAGCATTGTAGAAATCAGCTGGCCCATTAAATTCAAGGCAAAATAAAAAAGCCTTAAGAGACAACGCTGGGCACTTTATGATAAGAAGTCCAAGCCAAAGTCAGCAGTTAACTGTCATGAATACCTATGTCCCAATCAACATGGCAGCAACACCCAGCAGAGAGCAACTTCGGAACCCAGGTGGTGGTATCAGCTCAACCATACTGGTGGTAGGTCCGTGAAATGATCTAGATTGAGATTCTTGAGCTGGGGTCCTTGGAGCTCTAGGATGGACTTCAGTGGCCCATGAGCCCCCTGAAATGCAGGCTACACTGTGATTAGCTGCGAGTTGGGGCATTTTTCTAGGGAGATGCTCCAGAACATGTTAAGAACTACTGATCCGTACATTTGTCTTTCCCCATATCCTTATTTTATAGAAGGGGATACTGAGGCCCAGAGAGGAGCCATGACTTGTCCAAAGTTCCACAGCAATTCAGGGTGGGAACCACTGGTCCAAGCAGGGCTGACCTCTTTCTTAGGTGCCCAGGGCTGTGCAAGGCATTCTTCCTCCTTCACAATGGCTTTGAAAACCTTAGTCCCCAGCCTCCTGAGAAAGCCCAGTCTCCCACCCCACTAAAGGAATCTTTCCAAAGCCCCTCCTAGGGAACGTTCCTGCTGGCTGGGCCGCCAGCATGTGTGAGACATAATTACAGCACGTTGTAAATGGCATTAACAGACTGTCACAGCAGCCACATGGTATTAGCAAACGGCTCTGTCTTCATCATGCAGTCCCCACAGCCCCTGGGCTGGAGCACTTCCCAAGGGGTCTTCTTCCAGGTCCAGGTTGCAGAAATCTCCTGGTGGGGCACAGGGGGTGGGGGCAGTGATTCAGATGGCAGAAGCCTGGAGGTTTCCCCTAAGGCTTTCTTTTTTTTTTTTTTTTAATTAATTAATTTATTTTTATATTTATTTTTGGCTGTGTTGGGTCTTCGTTTCTGTGCGAGGGCTTTCTCTAGTTGCGGCAAGCGGGGGCCACTCTTCATCGCGGTGCGCGGGCCTTTCACTATCGTGGCCTCTCTTGTTGTGGAGCACAGGCTCCAGATGCGCAGGCTCAGTAGTTGTGGCTCACGGGCCTAGTTGCTCTGTGGCATGTGGGATCTTCCCAGACCAGGGCTCGAACCCGTGTCCCCTGCATTGGCAGGCAGATTCTCAAGCACTGCGCCACCAGGATTCTCAAGCATTGCGCCACTAAGGCTTTCTGAGATCTCAGCAAAGAGCTGAGTAGAAAGTTAGGAAATCTGATTTGTAAACCTGGTTCAGCCTCGAAGAACGAAGCTTTACCGGGCAGCGACTTATGAGCCAGATACTCTGGAAGGTAATCTTGTTTCAACCTCATAACCACAACCCAAAAGATTATAGTCTTCACTCTGCTTTATAGATGAGTTCACTGAGGCTCAGAGGGGGAATGTCACTTGCCCAAGTACCTTCATCTAATGAGTGGCAGCTGTAGGATTTGAACCAAGTTCTGATGTTTCCAGAACCTGTGCTTTTTAATATATCATGTTGCCTCCTTGGAAAAGTCTTTGATCAATTTTCTGCCAAAAGATATTGATACTATAGCCTTGAAGGTAATTCTCTGAAGCTACCAGCCCACCAGAAATTTACCAGCCTCTGAGCTCTGCTCACTAGGGCTACCGCAGGAGCAACATAGTAACAACATAGTAATAATCAAGATGGTAACAAATATTGTGAGTTTCCATACAGTTTCTCCTATGATCTTTGTAGCAAATCAATAGGAGGAAGAGGAACAATTCTTAGTTGACAGAGTTGAGAACAAAGGCCCAGAGAGGGAAAGTGACTTGCTTAAGGCCCCACAGCAAGTCCTGTGGTAAAGCTAGAATGAACTCCCCTTATCTCTTGATACCCAGTGCTGGTTCTTCTCCACAAACCACTGAGAACATGTCCATAGGCCTGTGGCTGGGGACTAAGCAGGGGGTCATTCACTCTTCCGGGCGCCTCCTGCCCTCGCCGTATGCACCAGCGGTTTATGCTTTATCCAGGAGGCCTCTGGGCTGCAGGCAGCAGGATGGGCTGCCTCTCCACTGGTAAGCAAATCCCCTGCTGAGCAGGTCATTTTATCCAGGCCGCCACCTGCCAGCTCATTTGCTTACAGATACAGGTGCTTCTAGGGAGGAATTAGTGATTACTTAGCCCGGAGACCCTGGCAGGCAGAGAGCAAGCTGGGGCCATAGCTGGGGTGGGAAGCCAGGGACATAACTGTGAAGTCTCTACCTCCTCCCAGGCTGCTTAGCCCTGCTCTGGAACCAAACGGTAGGAGTTAAGGATAGAAGGAGAGACCTCTCCGCTTTGGGGAAAGCTGACACCCCACCTCCCACTGCCCATCCCATCCGTATCCTACCAGTTCTCCAAGGCTTGGTGCCAATAGCCCTATTCCCTGCAGCGTTCCAAGATCCTCCACTTACCCTGCCAAAAATAATAATATAGTAAATCTGATAGTCCCAGAGAATTTATTGGTGCCTAGCACTTTACGTACATTGCCTCATTTAATCCAAATCAACTAATAATTGGCATTTTTAAATCCCCATTTTATGGATGAAGAAACTGAAGCTCAGAAATTTCGAGCAACTTGCTGGAGGTCACACAGTAAGGTACAGAACCCAGGCTGCTCTGATTTCAGATGTCCCCTCCTAACCAGGACATATTATTTCCCCCGGGCTGTTCCCTAAACCCTGTACGTTGCTTGTTTGAAGTTTATTTATTTGTTTATTTATTTTCAAAATAATTTTTAGGGGACTTCCCTGGTGGTCCCGTGGTTAAGACTCCACGCTTCCACTGCAGAGGGCATGGGTTCGATTCCTGGTTGGGGAACTAAGATCCCACATGCCATGCAGTGTGGCCAAAAAATAATAATATTAAATCTCAGAACCATTTTAGATTTACAGAAAAATGACGTAGATAGTGCAGAGAGTTCCCATATGCTTCTCACCCAGTTTCCCCTATTATTAACATCCTACGTTTGTATGGTCCATTTGTCACAATTAATGTGCCAATATTGATACATTATTATTAACCAAAGTCTATTCTTTATTCAGATTTCTTTCACTTTTACCTAATGTCCTCTTTCTGTATCAGGATCCCACCCAGGAGACCACATTCTATTTTATCATCACTTCTCCTTGGGCTCCTCTCGGCTGTGATAGTTTCTCAGACTTTCCTTGTTTTTGATGACATTGACAATTTTGAGGAGCACTGGTCAGGTATTTTGCAGATTGTACCTCACTTGGGATTTGTCTGGTATTTTTCTCATAGTTAGACTGAGCTCATGTGTCTGGGGGGGGAGGAAGACCACAGATGCCATTCTCATCACGTCCTGTCAAGGGTACATACTATGAGTTTCACACATCGTTGTTGACCTTAGCCTTGATCACATGGCTGGGGTAGCATTTGCCAGGCTTCTCCACCGTAAAGTGACTTTCCCTCTGCTTTCCATACTGTCCTCTTTAGAAGGAGGTCATTGTGTGTAGCCCCCACTTAAGGAGTAGGGAGTTAGGCTCCCCCTCCTTGATGACAGAGTACCTACAAAAATTATTTGGAGTTCTTCTGCACAGGAGATATGTATATTCTCTCTTTTGTTTATTTATTCAGTCATATATCACTATGGACTCATGGATATTTATTTTATACTTTGGGTTATAATCCAATACTACTCAGTGCTTTTTAAATGACACTTGGTTCTTTCTTCCTTGGTTTATCTGCGTTTCCCCAAATCTATTCTGAGGCAATCTCATTCCATGGGATTTTAACAGGCAATCCTCTTAAAATAAGTTCTAGAGGCAAGTCATGTGGGGTAATAGTGATTGAAAAGAGATCTTGACTAGAGGACTTGTCAGATATTTTAATGTGCTAATAGTGTGAGCAGTGAATCACCCAGAGGGGGATCTAATAGGCAACATTTCCCAAACATTTCTTTTCCTGATACCCTGGGGTGGGGTGGGTAAGATAGATAAGAGAAAATAATCTAGCTACATATCTTATCTTCCTCTAGAGACCAGAAGTTCTTTTCTTTTTTTTTTTTAAAACAGAAAGCTACTTTAAAAATTTATTTATTTATTTATTTGGTTGTGCTGAGTCTTAGTTAACGGCAGGTGGGCTCCTTAGTTGAGGCAGGCGGGCTCTTAGTTGAGGCATGCATGTGGAATCTAGTTCCCTGACCAGGGATGGAACCCAGGCCCCCTGCATTGGGAGCATGGAGTCTTAACCACTGCACCACCAGGGAAGTCCAAAGACCAGAAGTTCTTAAGAGCAAAGTTTA